TTTTGGGGTGGGAAAGGGGGTTTTATGGAATCGTGGAGTCATGGAAACAGTCAGGTTGGAAAAGACCTCTAAGATCTCCTCTCCCCAGGGCAGTGGTCACGGCCAAAAGGCTGCCAGAGCTCAAGGAGCGCTTGGACAACACTCTCAGGCACAGGGTGGGATTTTGGGGGGTTCTGGGCAGGGCCAGGAGCTGGACGGGATGATCCCTGTGGGTCCCTCCCAACACGGGATATTCCATGATTCTAAGATCACTGTGTCCAACCATTCCCCCCAGCACTGCCAAGTCCACTAACCCATGTCCCCAAAGTGCCACATCCACAGGTTTTTTAAATCCCTCCAGCGATGGTGACTCCACCACTTGGTTCCAAAGCCTGGACACCCTTTCCATTTTTTTCCAATATCCAATTCCCTGGCTGTTTCCTCTCATCCTGTCACTCAGGAGAAGAGACTGAGACCCTTTTGGGAAGCGGCTGCTGTGACAGACAGGCTGGGAAAACACCCCAGGGAAGGGTCTGAGCTCGGAGCAAGGAGCAGCCCTGGGGTCAGACAGCTCCCAAGGGTTCAGATCCCCAACCCAGCAGCCTCAGGGCTGGAAATCAGCTGGATCAAGGGGCTAGGAGAGGGGGAAAGCTGCTTTTCCAGCTCCCAGGAACCCAGCAGCTGTGCCCGTGGTCCCTGTAGGACCATCCCACTCCTCCAACCCCCCCCAGAGCTGCCCAGAACCACCCGGGGATGAACAGCAAGGATGTGCTGGGGGAGCAATCCCAGCTCCAAGGTCACTTTTCGCTTTACAGGGATCCAAGGAGTTGTTTATCCAGTTCCATACGTGTAAGGGAGTTTAAATGTAACTAAGGCAGCCCCAGTAACAGTGTTGTTTTCCCAGGGCAGCAAGTTTTGGGTGCCAGCTACAACCTATGGACGCCCTGGGAAGATTCCCAAGGCACGGGATCCCTGCTTTAGGGTTGCACATTTGTTCCCAGGATCCAGAGGATTTTTCCTCTCTAATTCAGCCGAGTTTCCCTCGAGTTCTTTCTGGTTTCAGAGCCACGTTTCTCCAAATCTTGGAGATTTTTGGCTCAAATTCTCCTCACCCCTCGCAGGGAATTCATCCCAGCAGCAATTCCAAACAGAATTTTACAATCCTGTACCCCATTCCTGTGCCCAGGGAGGTGTTCCCATGCCCGGGGAAGTCACCACCCCTCTGCAGAGGCTTTAAGGACAAGGAGTAGCTGCATTAATTCAATTACTTAAAGCAGATAAGGAGACAAGCTCCCTCCAGGCTCCCCTTCCTTAAAGGCACAGCTGCCTCACCCCCAGGCCCAGATTTTGGGGTGGATTTGGGCATTTCTCCTCCCTGATATACTCCAATCTCTAAAACAGCTGGAGCACGGAGCTGTGGGGAGGGAAAAAAAAAAACACCAAACCCTCGGCTCTTTATTTTATCAATTTACTTTTATTTTAATAGAATAATGGCTTATTCTACCAGTGTAGTGCATTGTTTTAATGGAGCAATGGATTTTTTTTTTAATAGATTAGTGGATTATCACAATCAGCTGTGATTCCTTGGGTAAACTTTGCCTTGAGGAGGCAGTGAACAGTGAACAGCGTGACCTTGAAACCGGCTCTTCCTGGAAAAGGAAGGAAATTCCCACAATGTGGGCACTTCCTGGGAATTCAGCCCTGCAAACACCATTAACACACCTGGGAGCACCCTCACCTTGCACCCAGCACCTTTTCCAGGTGCTCTCAGCTGAAAGAAAGGGAGCATTTCCAACAACAGACTGGTGAAAACATGGAATCATGGAATGGTTTGGGTTGGAAGGACCTTAAAGCTCACCCAGTCTCACCCAGGGACATCTCCCACTACCCCAGGGTGCTCCCAGCCCCGTCCAGCCTGGCCTTGGACACTTCCAGGGATGGGGCAGCCACAGCTTCTCTGGGAATCCATTCCAGCCCCTCACAGAATTTCTCCCTATTATCCAATCCCAACCTACTCTCATCAAGATTTGCTTTAAAAGGGCAACACTTTTGGGGATTTTGAATAGATTTGAGCTGGTTTAGTTGACTTCACCTCAGTTTTTGTCCCCTCCCAGGCCACTCCACACTCCCTGTTTGCTTCATCCCACACCTGGGATATCACACCCTTCAACCAAGCCCCAAAAACTCCCCCGCCACCAGACCAGAACACTAAAAAATAAAGAAAAAAAAAAACAAAAAAAAAAACCAAACCAAAAACCAAGCCACCAGTTTATTTAGAGAAATCCTTTCTTTAATGGTCAGTCTGGAACGCTGTGATGGGAAGAGGCTCCAGTGGCCAGGCCGGAGCGCTGGGAGCCGCGGGCGGAGCCGTCACATGGCGAAGAGGATCAGGAATGCCACCATCAGACAGAAGAGCCCCATGGCCTCGGACAGGGCAAAGCCCAGGATGGCATAGGAGAAGAGCTGCTGCTTGAGGGAGGGATTCCTGCGGGAGAAAAAGCAGGAAAATCCACAGTGAGGGAAAGCGGCGGCGAGAAGGAAACGGGCAAAGCGGAGCCCGAATTCCCGGGATTGTGTCCCACAGGCAGAGCACGGAGTGGGGGGGGGCAGGCAGCCAGCAGCTGGAATGACACAGCCAGCAGCTGGAATGACACAGCC